TGTGTGTGTGTGTGTGTGTGTGTGTGTGTGTGTGTGTGTGTGTGTGTCGTCCGCCCAGGCTCGCTCTCTTTCATTATTGATGACCAATGGGCCTTGAGACCAGGCAGGCGCTGGGCCCCACCCAGGCTGTCCTGCTAGGAGCAGTACACACACACACACACACAGAGCTGCGCCATGCACACCCTCGTATGCAGCACCAAGGCATGCTGACCTTGGGAATGTATGTATATGTGTGTGATGCTATGATTCTGGAAACTGACTTTACTTACTGTATATGTCATCACTTCCTGATTTTGCCACAACATTCACGAGAGCCTCTGATTATTTTTGCCATGTCATCTTTTAACTAATTCCCCCGATTTAGTCAAATTAGGTGTCACTTGAAAATGACCCGAAAGCCATTTAATGTGCTTTCAGTTGCACTGAAGCACTGTGATATACTGACGTAGGGCGTCCTTGTGCTCCATAAAGAAATATATTCAAAAGGAAGCGATGGAGAGAGAATGAGGCTGGTGTGACTTCGTTGAATTTTAATGGGTCTTTCTGCAAAGACAGTCATTTTTGCAGAGTCACGCTGTGCGTCTCAGGCCCTAGGATAAAAGAAAAGGACTCGTTTCACAGACGGCCCATTCTGTGCTTTGTTTGTCCAGGGGAACGAGGAATGTGTGGTGGAGAAGAGGAGCATGCTCTGCATCCCCAATCTGAGATCATGTTGTGGTCATTGGGTGTTTACTTTACAAAATATGTGTCTCCTGTGTCTGATTGTTGTGTCCAAGCTTAGTTCAGGCATTTCATAATATTTATTGTTTCTGTCTTTTTTTTTTTTTTATGGCATAAATTGCTGTAATTGTTCTGAGTTTGTGTCTGTTGTGGCTTTGTGCTTGGCTGAGATAATGTTAATGTATAGAGGGAAACGCCCACACAATATAATACATATTCCACTGCTGACAAAACTCCACAAAACTATATCAGGCTTGAGCTACAAAGATGTAATTGTTGTTTATTTATGCATTAACGCCAGAACTTTAAACGTGATAAGATTGGCCACAGACAGACGACACACACGCCACATTAAAGTAGTGCAACATTAGGTATTTTACCTAAAACACACCATGTATTGTTCCATCAGTCCTAAACAGTTATCTCTTCTTCTTCTTCTTCTTCTTCTTCTCTGTGGCTGCAGGAGCATGACATAGAGACTCCCCATGGCGTTCTTCACGTGACGATGAGAGGCGTTCCAAAGGGCAACAAGCCCGTCATCCTCACCTATCACGACATCGGCCTCAACCGTGAGTCCACCAAAAATAGTCATCGATAAACAATGTCCTGGATGTTTTAGTCTGTGCAGTCACACACATACAGGTCCTCCACAGAGTTTAAACCCCTGAACTGGTTGCACCTTTTCCAGACAAGTCGTGCTTCAACACCCTGTTCAACTATGAGGACATGCAGGAGATCATGCAGCACTTTGCGGTGGTTCACGTGGATGCGCCCGGCCAGCAGGAGGCTGCTCCTCCCTTCCCCAGCGGGTGCGTGTCTGACTGTGTTTAAATTCATGATTAACTCAGTTTCTCTGGTTGATTCAAACATGAGGAAATCACCCTGTACTAACACAAGGAATCACATGCCTTTCATCTTTCTCCAGGTATCGCTACCCGACCATGGACGAGTTGGCTGAAATGCTGCCCTCCGTGATGACTCAGCTCAAGTCAGTGGCTCCCGTGTTGCCAGCCGATCAATGATAATGTGTTTGGATTAACTATTCACGTCCAGTCCCACGGTAAACCAGTGCTTTCTCCGCAGGGTCAACAGTGTGATCGCAATCGGCGTGGGAGCGGGAGCGTACATCCTCAGCCGCTTTGCGGTGAGTCCCCGTCTGTACCAGAACATCGACACTTTCAACCCCCATTATTTCTTTCTAATCTGACCCCCCTGACCTCTCGGCTTCGCCTGTAATAATTAAAGGTTTTCAGGGCCACACAGCTTGTTACGCTGAACATTAAAGCCTCCCATCAAGCCCACACAGGGCTTCAGCTTTCTCCACAGTCTGCTGCATACGCTGCCGGTCCCCAAATGATGAATCCCATCGGTGATTCTCCTTTTCAGTTGCTTACATCTTGTTTCCGCACTCAGCTCAGTGGGGCTAAAATAAGCCCGACGTGTGTACAGCAGAGCAGAAAGATGAATAATGGAGAGAGAGAAGATGGTGGTCAGGGGTAAAACAGGGAAGGTGTAGGGGTTAGCAGTCACATTCCCAGCCTCCTTATGGAGAGTCTGAATTAATGAAGAAAATTTATTCTGAATTGCATTTTCTCTAACCGGCTTGGAACGAAATGAGTTTACCTTTGATGGATTTATAGCAGCTGTTGCTGCATTGCATTTGCATCACATTGAAAGCAGCAGCCGCAGTATTCCCTCAACATCGGACAGGATGGATCTTAGATTTCCCCTGACGCCCTCTTGTCTGTCTTCAAGCAATTACAAAATCGTGCCCCTTAATTTAAAGGCCCAGGATTCCATCTTCAGTCTTTCATATCTTCATTTAAAGCAACAGAAATGCTTCACTTTTTACCACCAAAACACTGCAGTGGTTTTATCCGATATCTGCAATGTTCAAGGAATACGCAAAATCCTGAGCAAAACGTTTCAAAACTTTTAATTGTGAAGATGTAGCTACTGATGGGCGTGATTCCTTTAGTTCACTGGATCAGACCGAACCACGCTGTAGGTTTGAAGAGTGAAAACTGAAATTTGTGAGCACAGCACGCATCATGCTCGATGTCTTATTGGTCAAAGTGTCCACTAGTTGTCCATATGGAGTTGGGACTGACGTGTGTTCTTCTCCTCTCAGCTGAACAACCCGACCCTGGTGGAGGGGCTGGTTCTGATCAACGTGGACCCATGTGCTGAAGGCTGGATCGACTGGGCAGCTTCAAAGGTCAGTGTTACCGCTGCAGCACAGAACGTCCTCTGAAGCTATTTCTTAAATAATTAACCGGCCATTTTGAGTTCAGTTTCCAGCCATTTGTCAGGCTGTTATTAATGAATGCCTTTTGTAGTTCAACCACTTTCCTGCTCATGCTCTTTACTATTACCGGACTATTTTAAGCTCACGGTTGTTGAGTTTATTCCAGTCTATTCTATATGATGAGATTATTAGCAATAGTATCATGGAGGCTGACACCAAGTCTTCAATACCAACGATATATTTGATAAATAGAATTATATTTATTTAGAATATTTTGGTGAATAGAATATTGTTTTGAAGAGATTTAAAAATGATAAGTGTGAGATTTGTAAGCGTTGATTAATGGCATTAAAACTACATTAGGCAGGGACTCTAATGTAGTTTATAATCTCAATAACAGCTCTCCCTCCAAAGTTAATCAAAACTAAGCTTTACTCAAATGCATTTTGATCAGTTTCAGTCAACCAAAGACAAATGCATACGGAGGCCTAGCGATGCCTTACAAAGAGACGGCTGTACCAACGTCTCCACAGACTGGTAGCGTGTGCTACTAAACCTTATGTTGGTTAAAACCAAGATGGAGAGAGAGTCATTAAGCCGACAAATAAATTCATACATAAGATTTCTGAAAACAGTTTGAAAAGTATTGACTCCTGCAGCCACGAACATTTCACTGGCTCTACTCCATCTCCGTCTCTTTAGGAATATTCTCATGGCGTCATTATAAGCTACTTCAAGTCTCTGTCAGCTTCTTTTTTTTTTTTTTTTTTGTAGTTTGACCACAAGTGTAGAGTGTTGTACAATATGCTCTGAACAGAGATATCTGTACACGTACCAAACATGCGTCACAGAGTCTTTGCTCGTGCATACATCCTACGACATTGCCTCGAAATGTCATTATCATCGGTCATGTGTTCTGTTATAAAATGACCAAGATACTTTACTTCATCACAGACACCAAGATTGTTATCAGACAATTCGAAGTAGACATTTGTCCTCTCTGGCTCTACAGATCAAGATACAGATCATTGTATTTGATGTCATGCTCCACACCATAGACAGTTTACTTGCATAGTCTGGTGAACATACCAGTGAGCCAGAATTCTCACAATGTATTTGGGGACAACTCTTTGGCTCAGTTTAAAAAACAGTTTGATTTTGAGTAGAATAATTTGCTTACAAGTGCAATACTGTCGTGTCCTACTGTACTTTAATGCTGTGAACTGTACATTGTTGTGTGTACTGCACAAGGTTGTTCAGGGGAGAACATTGTTTGGCCCGTTATTGTGGCACACAGTCATGGAACCACGATATGTCCCATACAGATCAAAATCCCCACATTTCATCTGTTCTCTTGTTATTTGGCTCAACAAGCCAAATATATAAAAGACAATGATAGAGAGGAGACATCCTCTGCTTTTTTTTTTTTTTTTTTTACAGATTTTTTCTTTAATGACGGTATGTGCCACTACACCTACTAGGTCTAAAAGTTAAATATGACTTCTTTGTGTATTTGCGTCCTTTATAAAAGTCAAAATCAAACATTAGAGCTGTCAGTGCATCCACTACATGTAAACACAGACATGCTTGTACAGCCATAACCATGAGGTTACTGCGTAAATAGAACAAAGTCTGCTCTTGTTTCTGTCTTGACGTGATGCGTCTTCCTCTCGTGTGCAGCTGTCTGGATGGACCAGTGATTTGGTGGATATCATCATGTCTCACCACTTCAGCACTGTGAGTTCCTCCTGCAGTACATTACTCACCATGTGCTCATTTTTTGTCATTTCTGTTTCTGCTAAATAGTGATGGTGACCTTTTTCTATTGACGATGTGAGACAGAACCTCGAGAGGCTTTTCTTGATTTCCTTGGGTACCATTTACCTCATCTCGCTCTTATAACAATTTACTAATTATTCTATTTCTGTCCTCCTGGATATATCGACTCGTAGATTGTGACACGGAGATTACAGACTCTGAGTTAATAACTGCCGTGCTGAAGCTAAGCCTACTGTATATACTAATCCCACGGTTTGTCTGGATGACTGATGGTTCACGTGCACATTCACTACATGCTGCTTAACTGCCCTTTATGTCGGCTCTCCCTCTTATTTCATTTGAACTCGTCTGTTTTTCTCTGCTCACCAGGACGAGCTGACAGATAACACGGAGCTGATCCAGAGCTACCGCCTCCACATCACCCAAGACATCAACCAGGAGAACCTGGCCCTCTTCTGTGGCTCCTACCAATAGTATGAAGCAATACATTTGTACACACTGTACTTGCATAGCTTTGTAAGCAGCGATTTCCCCTCAGTTGTTGTGTTCTTGATCGCATTTATAGGTACAGTGGAGGCATGTAAATTCTGCTTCCAGTATCAAAACTTGTAGAAAGCCAGATCTGAATATAGAAAGAAGCAATGCATCAAACACTACAAAGGACGAGGGTATAATAATAAATTCTGAGGTTCACAGAAAATCCGGATTCCTGCCAAGTCGCCTTACATTTTAGCCGGATCGCATTGTTTCTGCTCCTCTAACTAAATCATAATTTGTCTCCCTGCACCAGCCGTCGGGACCTGGAGATCGAGAGGCCAATCGTAGGTCTGAACGAGGCTACAGTTAACACATTAACGTAGGTTCTGAGGCTAAGAACACTCTGATGAACATTTGTCTCTTGAGAATATTTAAACCTTGTGTTCTCTTCCCATCCAGCTGCCCTGCGTTGTTGGTGGTCGGTGACACGTCCCCCGCTGTGGAGGCTGTGGTGAGTTACACTCCGTCATCTCAGCAACAGAAGGGTCTTTGGGAAGCGTTTTTTGAGCTCAGTAGTAACTCTCCTGTTCATGTTTCAGGTGGAGTGCAACTCCAGGTTAAATCCAGTCAAGACCACACTGCTGAAGGTGAAGGTTTTTGCATTTCTTGATGAATAAAATATATGATATTTCTTTTGACTGAACAAAGAAGTTAATAATGAGACGGATCTTTTTCTCCAGATGGCTGATTGTGGAGGCTTGCCCCAAGTTGTGCAGGTTTGTTTTTAAGGTTCTAGGTTTAGTCATTTAGCAACTTCCTTTGTCTAAATTATCTTCTAACTTTGATAACTTTATCTGTTCACAGCCAGGGAAACTTGCCGAGGCCTTCAAGTACTTTGTTCAGGGAATGGGCTACAGTAAGTACACATGCTCACATGTGTTTAGCTACTTCTGGTTTGTCAGTAAAAACATCTAAATATGAAATAATACCAGTTCAAACTAGGTGACTCTATACTAAATGTCAAAGAATTGTTTACAGGCTCAAACCTTTCGGGGTGACGTGCTTGTGGTCGAGGTTTGTCTGTGTTTTTCACAGAACTTCCTGTTGACGTGAGTGCAATGACAACAGTAACTTAAACGAGGATTGTTTTCACTGCAGTCTCCCAAAGAGCTGTTGCTAAACACCCCTGCTGACGGGGGGGGGGGGTTGGACTGTGGCCAGCAGTGCATGAAAAGACACAGTTCTTTGTCAGCCAGGTCACGGAGAGGCAGCCCGAGCGCCTCAGAGGATGCTAACGCCATTTCCTCTCTGCTCTTTGCAGTGTGTGGTCCCCACAACCCTCAGTAGGTGAGGTGTGAGTGCTTCGAGCATGGCACTCGAGATATGCTGAACAGTGAACTTGTGTGATTTTTCTTTTCTGTCCAGACCTGTTTAATGGTGCAGTCTCTTTCTAGAGAGACTCAATGTGCATACTTAAACAGACCTCCAGGTCACTCATCTGCAAAGAAAAACAACACATTTCTGTTGCTGACTTTCAGATGCACCCACCAGCCTCTATGGATGGATGAAATCGTTGCTCTGGGCATACAGATAACGCCTGTCTCTGTGTGTGTGTGTGTGTGTGTGTCTGTGTGTGTGTTTCTGTCACGCTAATTCTCTTCTGCTCTCTCCCGTTCCCAAACCCTTCACCGTGGGAGGCACCCCCGGGTGTAGCCAGTATGTCAGTGCCTCAGTGTTACTTTAAAGGCCACCGAATCCCCCTGTTGAGTAAATGCCACTGCAGGATTAAAACTGATTAAAAAAGAGTGCTTTCACGCAGAGAAAGTGTGGAAAATAAATCTCAAACACCTCAGCGTGTTTCTGAAAGCTGCTTTTTCCTCATTAACACGTTGCCGCAGTGTGAAAAGCAAAAGACAAACAGCCAAAGAGTACAGGAAATTAAGATTCTAGTTTGCACACATGCTATGATTTCTTACCTGTTGTTGGTAGCAAACAGCTTTTTTTCTTCTGTCCTCAATGGCCACAAGCTGCGACGGATTTTCAGCTTGAATCAGAAACGCACTGAGGTGGAATAAAGCAACATTAGAGCTATCGTTTCAACATGTCTCTCCCTTCTTCTTCCTTCCTTCTCTAATCATTGCTTACAGTTCCCTACGTTCTTCTCAGTCACCTGAGCAACGATTCAGGTATCTGGTTTTTGAGCAACAGTCAGACTAGAAGGCTTTGAAACCCGCTGGCCTCGTATTTCTGCACAGTGGATGAATGTTAATGTATGCAGAAATTCTCCAGAGAGCACTGGCTCATTTTGGTATTCAACAGCAGCCCGGTGTGGTGGACACAGTCACAGTACTAAACACAGTGAGATCGTTCTGCATACATTCATCTCCCTGCAGGAGTTCACTTTGTCCCGTTAGCATGGATTCTGTCCTCGGTGTCCTATTTTGTTGCATGACAAGCTTCCTCGGTCACTTCAGTTGCATTGCCGTGTTCTGCTGTTGCACTGCTTTTTCATGTTGTTGTGCTTCCAACAGTGGACACACACGCAATGATTTTCTGTTTCCATATTTTGTTTATTTTATTAGTCTTAGTTTTTGAGAATTGTTTGCATGGTGCACACTTCTGTTGTTGTGTCCCAGTGTTCCACACTGCACTGAGTCTCCTGCGCCATGTCAGTGGAATATTAATGCGCGTCTCTCTCTTTTTTTTTTTTTTTTTTTTTTTTTTTTTTTTTTTTGCAGTGGCGTCAGTAGGAATGACTCGTCTGGCTCGCTCACGCACCGCCTCCTCCTCCAGCATCACCTCCATGGACAGCAGCCGCAGCCGCAACAACCTCAACAGCCTGCTGGAGGGCAGCGTCACCGGGGCCTTGGACAACCAGGCCGGACCCCAGACCATGGAGGTCTCCTGCTAAGCTCTGCCCTCTGCACATTCCCATAGTAACTTATGTGCCCTCTCTTTCTCTCTCCCCCCCCTCCCTCTCTCTCTCTCTCACCGCTCCTAAGCTACTCAACGCCAGGAGGATCTGTAATAAACTATGTGATTAGAGAAGATGTAATAAATATATTAACAGATGCATATTATTAAATATTGAATATTTAATACAGTGTCACATTCTTACTAGAAACTATAACCATATTCAAATGTGTTGCGTATTGAAATGTTTAAACCATTATTATTGACTGTCCAACCCCTTCTATTTATTTTTTTTTCACATCGTCTTTGATTTGAATGTCTTCACACACACACACACACACACTATAGAAATGCTCCATGTGTTCAAAATAACATTCATTGCAAGGTACAACACTTTTACTATTCTAGCTGGTCTCGCCTGTTGTGATCTCTAAACATTGATTTTGAGTCACTATCTTTGTTTTAATCCCAAACTTGCTGCAATGCGAGGCCGATTTAGTCACAAAGTATACAGAGAGATCACGGAACCTGCTGTAGCTGCAGATATGTAGGTAAAGTGATACATGTAAGAACCATCGCAGACTGTAGCACAATGTCAGTAACACTAAACTACAGCTGTGGTGAGAGCTGCTTTTTGAACAACGTGAAAGAGCGTTCAGTGTAAAGTCACGTACCGGTGTGTCAACTCCTTCACACACATTCGTTTATTTTCTATTCTTTTTGTGTCTGAGCTAGTCTACTTTTCTTTCTGCTTTGTGTGGGATGCGTTTGTTCAGTTGAATAGATTATTCAGTGATTGTTTTAACAACCTGCAACAAGTGGGTTCTGAAGTGAAAAGTACGAGTCCCTTCACTGAGGGACTGCTGATTCAACTCATTTATATTACGACTGAATAAAAGCTACATCATGACAGCATGTCTGGTGTTTTCATTTGTCAGTACATTGCCAATAATTCTGCCAACGAAATGCACATAAATAACAAGTAAATGTATTTGAATGACAGACAAAAGAAAGTACTGGATGTCTCAGTGCTGCGAGTGCTTGTACTTTTCCTCTCCTGTTGATGGAAAAGTGAGGTGACAGTGGTGAGTTAGTTTCCAACCACAGTGTGACAACTTCTGTTGTCTGTCACAGATGGGGCTGTCTATATTTAGCACACATTTAAAAAAAAAAAAAAAAAAAAAAAATGATCAGCTGCACCACAAATGAGATGAGATTGATTTCAAACTGAAAAGATGTACTGCCATAGGAATAAAGCGCTGAATCTGTATTACTCACTTCTGGTATCTGATATATCATTTTCCTCGTGCAACGCTACAATTTGCCTCAATTGATTGCAAAGAGGAATTAACCAAGCACACAGTTAGATAACGGTTATTTGGAGTAATTGGTGAACCAATTTAGAAAACCATTTGAGAAAGAGAACCCCCTGATATGGAATGACATTCATTGATCAAACGTTCTTTCCGTCTTTTGCACCAACATGCATTTCTCAGTGATTACGGCACACTCTAAAGCAACTCAGTCCATCTGATTAAAGACGACTAGAGGAGATCACAGAGAACATTGTTACTGCTTTAAATTATCAGGACTGTGAGCGTGAACGTCTCTCTTAGCAGAGACTGAAAAAAAATTCTATTTTTGATTTTCTTCGACTGTTTTTTTGTACACCAAAATGATTATGAGTACAAAATCCCCAGTCATACTGCTGCATTACGACTGTTTACTGCAGTGTCAGTATGATGGACGAGCTTTATGATTGCCCATGAATCAGGACAGGAGTAGGCAGGCAGGGGAACCTTCGTCATGCTTCTGCACAGGTTTAACTCTTATCTGATTTGTAGCATGGCTGGCAGTAACTGAATGTAATCGGAACACTGGACTGAGGAGGAAATGTGGTCACCGTTTTCTACAGACAGATAAGATGTAGTGTGGACCAGTTTAAAGCCTTAAAGACACCAACTCTCTGTTGGTGCAATTGATGTCACCGCTGAAAGCCATCACATTGCACCACAAGGTGCTTACGTAGACGTACAGTTAATTCCATAAACAAGTGATGCACTTTGAGTCCCACTTGAAAAACACTGCATCCTGAGAGATCAACGCAAGCTGTTCTGAGTCCGGATGTCGAGGTCCTTGAGCGTCACAGGAAGCCGCAGCAGGGCAACATACATAAAGGCCTCGCAGGGGGCCTCGTCTCTTCAGTCAGCTGCAAAAACACAGCCGCCTTCATTACAGCGCAGAGGAGGAAACACAGTCACTCCGATTGATCTACAGGCCTGAGTTGGAACCCTGAGCTCAGCCACATAATAACAGCGACCCGTGTGTGTGTGTGTGTTAGTGTGTGCTGAAGGCAGACGAGCATCTTTCAGCAAAAAAGATTTGGAATTTACCAGTTGATCTGAGGAGGATCTGACTCACTACGAACACTTTTAAATCAGAAATTGAAGGAGGTATGTTACTTGCTTTGATGATGGTCTTTTGCTTAAAGGCACTTTTCTTTATTTCTTTTTTGAGTTGTTGCTCAAAGACTTGATTTTTACCTCCAGAATATATTGCCTGATCACTTGTGTTAAATTAAATATGTATAAATTAAAATAAACTGTATTTAGATTAGATTTAAGATATTGTATTCTTACTTGCTGCTGCCATGATGAGTACGCACAATATGAATAAAATCTCATCTGTTCGTTTTATTAATCTATCGCTCACGTTAAATAGATTTTATTCCTCGTAAACATGCAGCAGGGACATTTAGCACAGGATATCAATGCCTCTTGTTGTGGTTGGGCACCTTCCTGTATCATCTACATTTTTGTTGCCAGGCTACAAAACAGTATGAAGAACCTGTAAACTGCTTCCCGTGTGGCAGTCATAATTTGATAACTAGGGGGATGATTCAATTATGAATGTGAAAGTTGTTGAAGGCCTTTGACAAGACATTTTCTAATTATGCTCCCCATCTCAACCTGTGTCTCTCTTCTTTTCAGCCACAAGTGCGAGAAGCCAGAGAACATGGGGACCTGCCCCATCAGATGCAGAACCACCCAGACAATCCTAGAAAATCAACCTGAAACTAGATCACCACGTAGGTTATACTGCCAAAACATTAACACACAAAATAAAAAACAAAAAATTGAACAAATTGAAATATTTTATTGATCTCCCTTCTTTCTCTCTAAAGCCTCCCAGGACAGTGTGCTCGTATCCCTCTGTGACTACCCGTCCTTTGAGCGTACAGAGTTAACCATGTGCACTGGAGAACGACTCACCATCATATCAGAGTACGTGATGGAGCTCTTAATGTTTCACACCTCACCCCTTGTTTTCACCCTAAACAGATACAGTTAGTCATGACTGCCTTATTTTTATTCCTACAGCGATGGTGATTTTATGATGGTGAGATCCACAACCACAAACCGTGAGAGCTACATTCCCACCAACTACACAGCCAGGCTGACACACAGGTAGGTCATAAGAAAGTTGTGAAAACGTGTGTGAAGACACCTGTGTCATCACAGTGTGTGTGTGTGTGTGTGTGTGTGTGTGAGAGAGAGAGAGAGAGAAATGAAAGGTCAGGAGTCCCCTGACAGGTGGGAGGAGTCTCTGTGTAGGTGACCTTTTCCTCAGTGGAGACGGAGGTTTGGAACAAGGCTGCTGTTCTCTCCGGTGACATGACATCAGCCTCTGCCTCCTGTAGTTTCAGTCCTCCTCCAGTGGGGAATGTGCTCTGATACTGTTTCCAGTGGACTTTCCAATCTTGAAAAAAAAAGAAACCAAATTTTGTTTTTCTTTCTCATTGTCCTGTTGTGTCTTCTTCTCTGTTCAGGTGGCTGTTCACAGGCATCAGCAGGAACAAAGCAGTGGAGCTGCTCATGCAGCCTAATAACCACAGTGGCACCTTCTTGATCCGAGAGTCAGAGACAAACAAAAGTTAGTTACAAGGATTTTTTTTTGTTTTTTTCAACTGTGGATTGCATTAGAAACATATTCAATCCAAACTAGACAGTTAAGAATGAAGAGCCGCGCCGTTTAACTGCTACATCTGTGTGCTACTTCCATGTTCAGATTGTTACTCGCTGTCTATCCTGAGGAGGGGCAACTCTTCATACCTGGACTGTGTCAAGCACTACCGCATCTCTCACCTCCAAAATGGCTGGGTCTACATATCTCCAAGAGTCACCTTCCCCACCCTGGATCACCTGGTGGAACACTATTCAGGTTTGCACCGAGGATGCAAAATGCTGTTTTTTCTTTTGCCTAAACATACCAGAGACAACTCTAGAAGAGTGATATTAAAATGTTGCCTCCTCTCACAGAGCTTGAAGATGGATTGTGCTGTCGGCTGAGGGAGCCTTGCTTCATCCAGGGTTTAGACGACGCTCGAGAGGCCAGGCCTATACCTACAACTGTGAGGAGGCCTACTCTCAACTGGAAGGACATTAGCAGGTGGGCCAGACTCCCTTTAGCCTTGCTTCCACTGATGACTGCCACAAGATGTCACTCTATTACAGTAGAGCAGCAGCACCTGGTGGCGTACTGGTTGGAGAGCAATCGATAAATCTTTGTGCAGCTTATTATTTTCGCTGATTGTGACTCAGTGCTGAGTAAACCGATTGAGAAGAGCGTGCACACAAAGGCAGCAGATATGCCAACAGATAAGACTGTGGTTGTACTGGATGTTAGGTTTGATTGTGTGTAATGTGTGAGTGCAGAGCAGGATGTTAAGCAATAGTGTTCAGTGAAGCTACTTCAGATAAATAACCACAATAGATTATGATTATTTGATAAAGTGCAACACACGCAGTTAAAAATACAATGTTTGGGACATTGTGGTAAAATTGCAGCACCGTTTTTTTATTTTTATAACCGATACCATGACCCCTTTACTCATCCAAGTCTTTGTAAATAGCCTTTCTGTCTCTTCCAGGTCAGCAATGTTCAGGAAGATGAGAACAGAGTCAGACAAGTCTCTGGTGAGCGAGGGGCTGAGGGAGGCCATCAGCTCCTACCTCCAAATGACCGAAGGCAACGATCACAGCTGGGACACTTGAGGAGAAGACAGTGGATCAGTCTGGGAGAACGAAGTCAGAAGGATAGAGTGAAGTCAGATGCTGTCCTGTCTCATCTGCAGTTTGGGAGAGCCATGAGAAGAGGTCATGTGTACGACCAATAGACTTTGCAGACCGCCCTGGATTAGCGGGAGGGCTGAGACACTACATGTATGTCAGCAAGAAGATTGTTTTTATAGTCACACAGGGGAGGTGTGAGCTGAACATTTAAAGTCAAAGAGATATTTCTTGTCATTTGATTTCAAAAGTTGAATATTTCTCTTAATTTATATTCTAATATATGTACATGCTGTTTGAATGCAATGTGTAAATTATTTTGTAATATGATCATTGTCGTAGTTATGTTATTGGAATCCAATAAAATATGTTAGCTATGTGTAATAAATGAGCAGCGCATGCATGTATATAATCACCTAGATAGATAGATAGATAGATAGATACTTTATTAGTCCCGCAAGTGGAATTTTTTTTGCTACAGTAGCATTTATGGTACAGGTAAAGCAATACAAATTACAGAGTAAAATATATTAAATATAAAAATGCAATATAAAAATGAAAATGCACAATATATACAGTAAAAATAACAGTCAAAATAATAAATATAAAAATGCAATATGAAAATGCACAATACATACAGTAAAAATAATAAAATTAACTAACTAAACAATAGTGCAAAGATTTAAACAAACAAACAACAGCACGTAAACACCTAAATCCAACCTAAACACAAGAGAGCCTCGACTGTATTTTTTTGTCATAATAATGTATATCTATGTGCATTTATATAATGTTATTGAATGTATATTGAAGCCACTTGATTCTTGCAGGGTGGGCTTCCGCTTAATTAACCTCGAATACGTCATCAGAGCCCTCCACTTCCTGCCGTGAACAGCTCAGTTCAGGAAGAAGAAACAATGGCGACGCTTCTGGGCTCCGAGTCCCCCTGTACCGGAGGAAAACGGAGACATTGCAACGGCAGTATCGTCACGAAGTTCACGGCTAGTAAAATAACTGGTCAGGGTTTCAGTCGAGGGACGGAGGTAAGAGGAAACGAGGAAACGTTCCGACCGTTAAAGACAGACCTGACAGTTGGGTCGACTGAGGCCACGGTCTCGCGCTTGGAATCCAGCCTGAACATGAAGCTTGTTGTCTAGGAGACCTGCCCGTTAGATCTAGTCACAGCTTTGGCCTTACAGCTAGCTACAACAAAACACCTTAAACGGTGACGCCATTGAGTTTCTGGGTGTTGATATTTTGCTCGTTGACCATGCAAATAACCGTTAACAATATACAACAAAGTGTATGAAGCTAGCTCCGCTTCAAGTGGGTCTTTTGTTGTTAGCCCCACGTTAGCTTAGCACAGTATGCCACATTAACTGCGATATATAAACGCGTTCAACTGAAGGTTTTTCCGTGCATTGGAGGTTGACTGCTACTAGAGAGCCATTCGTTTGTTTTTTGAAGCGCTTATTAAATCACGTAACGTAAATCAACGGAAGTAACGTTTGCTAATGTTAGCAAACGGAGTATCGTTAGCTTAGCTAGCTGGCTAAGCTAAACCAGCTGAACAGCTCAGGTGATTACGTAACGACACAGAAACCACAATAACTACCGTTTCCATAAATGGACAGGCAACAACAGCTGTTTGCCTAAATTAACGTTAGCACGTTTTTTTTAATTTTCCGCGGAAGAAAACATTAATTTGACATTTGTAACGTTGGAGTACCTATTCGTTCGGTTATGACGCTAATGTTGGTTGACGTTAAATTGAACTGTTGTGATATTGAAGGGTCTTTATCGATATGAACGTCGTCCTGAGATGTAGTTAGTGTCTTCTCTATTTCACATTTTTACTTACACCCTCGTGACTCAAGCCCTTACATTGCAAAACTGATTAAACCTTTTTTTTTTCCTGTGCAGTCAGTACCTTTAAATTTCCTTGTTGACTTGCAATTTGAAGTGAAAGATTAGTATTACGCATTATGACGACTCCTTAAACCTGATAAACAAAAATCCCTGATCAACTTGAAAATACGGAATTTGTCACGTTTTAATGCTGCTCAGAGTGTTTAGATAGTTCCCATAATATGATCACTAAATAAAATATACTACTGTTAAGTGTAAAGAATGGCTTTCCAGGGAGTCGGTCATAATTAGCATGTCAAAAGCTGTGGTTAAGAACTCAAAACATTGTTCAACAAGGCTACTTCCTTTGTCCTTTTTTTCCCCAACACAGTTTCTTACTTAAGGTGGCAACCATTTGTGACGCAACAAAAAATCCATTAATTCAATATGAAATACAGATGTGCATTATAACCTTGAGACACGGTAACAACAAATATGAGGAGTTGCTGTCATCAAGTGAGAGTTTTTAAATTTGGAGACAGTTTTTGGGGGTTGTTGTGTTTTTTTTTCAACTGTAAAAGGGATTTATAGTCACTTCTTGGTTTATTTTTGAAGCGGAATGTCTCTGATGCCAAGAATTCCCGTATGTTCATTCCGAGCCCCAGCAGAGTGAACATGAGCTGCTCTCTTTTAAAGCCCGAAACCTAAGACGGTCTCAAACTTGTGATGTCACCTAGTCTCAAGTCTGGAGCTGCTCCATAGACAATGAATGGGAGACTGATTGTGTGGACACAAAGAATGTTTTTTATTTTTTTATACCCAAATGGCCTTTATAGATCTGAAACAGTAAATGAGCCCATATACTTAACGTGTCATCTATAACATCTTTACCGAATTCATTGTCAATGGACACGTATACACGTTTGAGTTTCAGAACTTTAGCTTTTGGATTTGGGAGCGAGTTATTCATGTTCACTAATATTTTTGGAGTGTCTCTTAAATCATAGTAATAACATGTATGAGTTTTGAAAATCAGAGTATTTCTCCTTTAACTATAGGGTTTCAGCATGTGCAATATCTTAAATAGCTGCTCTATTTCTTCGTCCTCTCATGTTGGACTGAGGGCAGACTGGCGCTACAGCGACTCATTGTCGCCTCTCGAGGAACAAGTAATATTTCAAGAAAGTACGTGCCGAGCTTTGCTGGTTTGCAGTCGGTGTCTCCAGCACATTGATGTAACGTCAAACGGTTATTTTTTCACGTTCTTTTGATCATTTTGGAATGTTTTTAACAAAAATTCTGGCCATTTTATACAATGCACCGTTTTATAGAAGGAGGCTGAACCCGATTGTATTGTATTGGATTATAGGATTGGTATAGAAAATACAAATTTTACAGAATGTGTCTCTCTTGCTGAAAGGTCCCATTAGTTTTAGGAGTAAATACAGTCAAGAGATCTGTTTTTAACTACAATGAGCCATGCTGAGGAATTATCATCACATTTTTCATGCATATCTCTAAAGTTACACTGTTGTCACAGCCTTTTATTTAAAAAAAAAAGGCTCTCAACAGTGAAGATTGCTTTCACAACCAGACAGAAAAGGTGTGCATACATTCATCACTTGTAAAGTCAATAGCCCTGGAGAAATATTTAAAACACATTTCTCTGTGACCCATTCAAAATGCCCCACATAAGTTCATTCTAAAGGAGAAAAACTCAACACGGCACACCTATGCTTACAACACTATTTGCTGTAGGGTGACAACATCTTTAATATTCAGCTGCACATGATGGCGTTGCTCCACAATACATTTGCACCCGTGGAATATGAGCCAGGCTAGGACTCTCTTGTCCTACAGTATTTTTTAGTTTTTTTTTTTTTTTTACAAGTATAAAATAAAAAGCTGCTCAGTTTGCTTTCAGTTTCTGTATTCCCTGTTGCAATAGTCTGCTATATGTCTCAACAATAATCACATTTAAAAGTATACTCACAGCCTTCCTATTCTCTGGGACCTTTTGTTCTTAATTAGTTAACGTGTTTTCCATGGGGGAAGATTGACTGAGACAGGTTTTTTTTATTATGCAATTTGATCGACTACATATGCAATGCACACGTTATAGACTGCATATCATTGTTTCACTCTAAATCACGCGGTGCTTTCCTCTGTATTTCAAAATGATTCTATGGCCAAAATAAATACCTGCATTTTTCTCAAGATTGCAGACTGACATCTATTAGTTCAAGTAAAAGTAGATCTTTTAAAAACTTCTAATTTTTACCATTTATTATGTGTTTATTGCACTGTTTAATGTTTCCTCTGTTTATGTGTCTCAGCTCCCAGGAGGCCTGCTCCAGGAGAGAGATAAACGGGCCAAGTGGCATGGCATCCCTACTCTGCTGCAGAGGCTCTACGAGAGCAGCCATCCAAACAGTGACCTCTCCAACGCTCACAGCTTTCTTAAGGTAGCCACACGGGACTAGACCATGTAACAACGATGCTGAGAACTAACTGGTTTTAGCCACTTGTGGTTGACTGTTTTACTTGGGAGCCTGGGTGATGTAAAGACATGTGGACAATGGTTTTTAACAGGTATTATCATCCCAGCTCTCCATGGAGGCCATGTCTTTTGTCACGGAGGACAGAAAGACCGCTCAGGAATCCACCTTCCCCAACACGTACACCTTTGACCTCTTCGGTGGAGTTGATGTAAGTTCAACATTCCTAGTGCTCGATGCTCTCTAATTGTTGTCATGTGTAGTACACCTCCATGCGGAGACGCTGTGGATGTTAAAAACAGTATTTGCTCACAGCGCTGACGACATTTTCTTTTCCCCTGAAGCTGCTTGTGGAGATCTTGATGAGACCCACATTAACTATGCAGAAGAAGAAAAACAATCGTAAGTAATGACGTCACAGGTGTGAATACGTCCTGCTTTTATTTGGAAGTAAACACTTTTGTACATGATCATAATATGATTTGTTCCAACAATAAGACTAACGGCTGTGTTTGTGTTACAACAGTGAATGATGACTTGGTCAAGGACTGCCTTAGTGTTCTCTACAACTGTTGTATATGTGTAAGTATCCTATTACAGTTTGTACGTACCAGAGAAATGTCAACGGTGCGTTATATCTTCTAATTATTAGTATTTTCCCTGCAGTTGGTTTGTGCTGTTGTCTCAAATCATGTTTACAGACAGGAGTGGGCGTGGTTTAATTCATGTCTTTTTCTTTCAATTCATAGACGGAGGGGGTCACGAAAAGCCTGGCAGCGAGGGACGACTTTGTGCTGTTTCTTTTCACCCTGATGACCAACAAGAAGACCTTCCTGCAGACGGCTACCCTAATCGAAGATATTCTCGGAGTTAAAAAGGTCAGAGTTATACTTGTATTAACTCATGAGCATGTAAAACTTGTTAATGGCCATTCCAGAGGCCGATGAAGTTACTTTATGATTTACTGCACATTTGGCAAGCCCCTCTTACTTAAAAGTCAAGTCAAATTTTTTATTAATCTTAATTTTTCTGTGAAGATAACGTCATTTTTTTGTTATATCTTTGGTCTGGCAATTTAAATTTTCAATGTCCAGACGCCTCTAAAGCCAGAATGATTATGCTCGGCAGCGGCTTACATCCAAATGTCACACCCTTGTCTTTTATGTAGAATAATTTAGTGTTCCACTTGGATTCTTCAGTATTTTAAAATTGCATGCATGTGTTTGCTAAGCTCTGTAAAATGAAAGTTTAGCGATTTACTAGATTTCTTGACAAACTCTGTTGTCAAAGTCAGAAGTGTTATATGAGCGTTGCTAAATCTTCTAAATGTTTAACTACTGCTGGTCCGTCACGGTATTGTGGTGTCTACATATGGAGGGTTTGTAGACCCTCCTTTGTGTTTTCACCTTCATATTTCTGGTCCTGGTAGTGCTAAGTGGTGATGAAGACAACTAGGAGCAGTTTGACAAAAGTCTATATTCATCTTCTTAGTAATTATGAGATGAATTACTAAACAGTGAGAGAATGTCATTAGGACTGTTTTGGGTTAGATAATAAACAACATGTCTACAATACATCTTTCAGTTTGGTAACCGTTTATATGTTTGCATTTTCCAGGAGATGATCCAGTTAGAGGGCATCCCCAATCTGTCGGGCCTGGTCCAGAGCTTTGACCAACAGCAGCTCGCTAACTTCTGCCGCATCCTCTCCGTCACCATCTCTGAGCCGGATGTCGGAAACGACGACAAGCACACCCTTTTAGCCAAAAATGCACAGCAGAAACGCAACGCCAGCCCATCGCTGGCAGAGGTCAACCAGGGTAGGTTGTCTTCAGAGTGCAGAGTAACAACTCCATGCTGTCATGAATTCTGTGCTTTTAATTAAAAAATAGATCAGTAAATTGTAAAATATCAATGTTATTACCTTTTCCTCACTAGTAACCCTGCTGAACATCCCTGGCTTCATTGAGCGGTTGTGTAAGCTGGCCACTAGAAAGGTGTCTGAGGCCACAGGGGCGAACTTCCTGCAGGAGCTGGAGGACTGGTACACATGGCTGGACAACGCTCTGGTGCTGGACGCCCTCATGCAGATGGCGACCGAGGAGGCCGAACAAAGCAGTACAGGTGAGACGAGTCAGCCGTGCTGCCGATTCTTCACGTTGCTTAAAATCCCGTGGCCTCCGATTTGAGATAGATTTATGTTTTTACCTCGCCTCCAGAGTCGTCCGATGAGAGCTCCCTGGCCACTAGCCCTCTGAGACACCGACTGCCCCAGTCCATGAAGATCGTCCATGAGATCATGTATAAGGTGGAGGTGCTCTATGTGCTGTGTGTCCTTCTTATGGGCCGACAGAGGAACCAGGTACTTAACAGCACACGTCGTCTCTTCCCTCCTTCAGATATAAGATGGAGTGTTGCATGTAAGCAGAGTTTAACTGAGTATTTCACTGAGCCCCGTATTGTGTGTCTGCACAGGTCCACAAGATGCTGGCTGAGTTCCGTCTCATCCCGGGACTCAACAACCTGTTTGACAAGCTGATCTGGAGGAAATACACTGCCTCTAATCATGTGGTCCACGGCCAGAACGAGAACTGCGACTGCAGTCCGGTATGAACCTTCAATACTCTGGCAATAACTGGCAATTAAATTAAACCTTTTCAAGTTTAACATTTAACCATTAACACTATTTATTCTCGTTGTGCAGGAAATATCCTTCAAAATCCAGTTCCTGCGGCTACTTCAGAGTTTCAGTGATCACCATGAGTAAGCGCCCCGTAACGGAATGTCCTTGGATCTGACTTCTCCTAACAAGTTATGTCTGTTGTTAAAATGTTTTATCTGTCTTTCAGGAACAAATACCTCCTGCTGAATAGCCAGGAGCTGAATGAACTGAGTGCCATATCCATGAAGGCCAACATCCCAGAGGTGGAAGCACTGGTCAACACAGACAGAAGCCTAGTGTGTGACGGGAAGAAGGGCCTCCTCACACGCCTCCTCACCGTCATGAAGAGGGAGCCTCCAGACTCGTCATTCAGGTCAGCATCACATAGGCCAAAGATTAAGAAGCGTGAGATAAATATGTTGACATTTTAAGCGGCAGCCTTCTCGAAAGAGTTCCCATTCCGGAGCACCAGGTGCTCTTCTATTTTTAAAAAGGATTTCTCAAGATTTGTCTCTAGTTCTGCTTTTTATAACTCTGTTGTGTACGTAGATTCTGGCAGGCGAGGGCGGTGGAAAGTTTCCTCAGAGGAGCGACTTCCTATGCAGACCAAATGTTCCTCCTGAAGAGGGGACTACTAGAGGTAAGAACTGCAGCCAACACACCCTCCATGGAGACTGTCCACGTTGCACAGATCTTATCATGAAAGAGCGGCTGCTGACTTTCTGCTTCCGTCCCCTCGACAGCACATCCTGTTCTGCATCATAGACAGCGGCTGTACGTCAAGAGATGTCCTACAGAGCTACTTTGATCTGCTGGGAGAGCTCATGAAGTTCAACATTGATGCCTTCAAAAGATTCAACAAATATGTCAACACTCCGGAGAAGGTATGATTGGACACCTTAAATGCATTATTAAAATGCATTTGCTGGTATAGGAAACAAAATCAAATTTTACATTTCGCAGCTTGTGTGATGGATGAACAAGTGTGTCTAATAGTATACTTTGTGATGGTGTAACGGACCATCCTTACGGATCCCCTCTCAGGGTTTTGGACGCATATGAACCGCGGATTAATTACACAGTTAACGTTAACAGTGTGAAATAAAGTTATACTGACTGTCATTATCTGCCAATATTCAGTAAAACATGCGATCAGGACATCGACATTTCTGCTTTTATACTCGCCGCTCTCGATAATGTTACATTGTGAACAACCAGTCCGTGTTTAAATTGAAGGACGGTGGCAGCGCTGCTAACGGACGAAGGTTCCATTCAGTTACATTATGATGCGTAATATTCTGGAGCCTTGTAGACCAGCTGCTATAATCAAACAACAAAGTGATCTAATAGGGATCATCAATGACCCTTTTTTCTTTTGTGCTGATCTGCTCTGTGATCCGATCCGTTGCACCACTAATGGTTCATCTCTTCTGTAGTTTCAGACCTTCCTGACACAGATCAACAGTTCTCTGGTGGACTCCAACATGCTGGTGCGCTGCATCGTCCTGTCTTTGGACCGCTTTGAAAGCCAGACTGAAGATGTCAAAGGTAAACGGGGATGGAAAGTCTACAGGTGTAGACGAGAAGTTACTGAAATAAATGTATTGTATTAGGTTGATTGAACGTTGATTTTTGATTCCTGTAATATACTTTAAACTACATTTCTCACCGTGTCCTTCAGTGGTGGAGGTGCTGTCTGAATGCTGCCTGCTGTCCTACATGGCCAGAGTTGAGAACAGGCTGTCCTTCCTCTTCCGACTCATCAACATCATCAACGTACAGACACTCACACAGGTATTGCTTCATTTTAACTTTATACTATTATTATTTGACTCACAGATTTAACAAAAAAAAATTATGGACTGTTTGAAACTTAAAGTAACGTCCGCTACAATAAGCATTTAAATTTTTTTTTTGTTTGTTTGGCGTGTTGCTCAAATCTCACTCCTTTCTGCATCCATCACCATTCCTCCTGCAGGAAAACGTGAGCTGTCTGAACACCAGTTTGGTGGTCTTGATGCTGGCCAGAAGAAAGGCTAAACTGCCCTTCTACCTCAACGCCCTGCGGGAGAAGGAGTATGCCGAGAAGTACCCGGGCTTCCTGCTCAACAACTTCCACAACCTACTGCGCTTCTGGCAGCGCCATTACCTCAACAAGGACAAAGACAGCACCTGTCTGGAGAACGTGAGTGGCTCTGTACATAATTAAAGCTTCAGTAAGTCATTTCACTAAAGTCAGCAGCAGCACGATGTGCGAGTCCTCCTCTCGGTGTCTACTGTTTACGTTCAGTCACTTTTCTGTCACTCATTCCAAACATTCTGTCGGGGACATTGGATGTCTGCATGCTGGGATAAGCAAACACTCTTGTTTGTGTTATGGGGCTGAAACAGAAGCGTGGAAGGAGCAGTTTCCAAACTTCATATTACCGTTTTTTCGTAATGAATACTCGTGTATGTGCTTTGAGTAAGTGGCTGCACACAGAAAACCTCAAATAGGACTTGAAAAACAAATACAGCACATGTAAATGTAGTCGTGTTCAGTAGCAAGTATTGACTGATGTTGTGAATTTGTGTTGAGTTAATCTGATACAGAATACTTTGCTCTAGCCCCCTGCTCTAAGACTGCTGGGTAAAAACAGTAACGTGAACTTCTGCTCAACTCCAGAGAGTGTGTGTGTGTGTGTGTGTGTGTGTGTGTGTGTATATGTATATATATATGTGTGTATGTATATATGTGTGTGTGTGTGTGTATGTATATATGTGTGTGTATGTATATATGTGTGTGTGTGTGTGTATGTATATATGTGTGTGTGTGTGTGTGTATGTATATATATGTGTGTGTGTGTTTGTGTGTATGTATATATGTGTATGTATGTATGTATGTATGTATGTATGTATGTATGTATGTATATCACACACACACACTCCTAACTGCTGGGTGTGTAAAGAGTCAACTGTTTGACTGATGAGTGACCCTAACAACTTCATATGGTGATGTTAGTGTTTGCTGGTTCCACTGCCCCCAAGTGGCTGAAAATACAAATCATGGCTGCTTCAACATTAACAATGTTTCCTAATATTTTCACAAGCGTATATAAAAAAAAAAAAAAAAAGCTGTAGATGTTCATGTACACACATGGTCGCGATCCCTTTGGTAGCTGCTATTAGTTGTGACGGTTCACTTCGCTGACAGTGTCACCGTTAAACAATGAAATGAGGTCATATCAACCATTACCATATATGGTAGTTAGCTAATTAAGAGGCCGTTAATAACGAGGACTATGTGAAAATGATTGTTCTAAATGCGCTCTGTTCTCCTCCTCCTCCTCAGAGCTCCTGTATCCCCTTCAGCTACTGGAAGGAGACGGTGTCGGTGCTGCTGGGCTCAGATAGGACTTCTCTGTGTGCCATAGCGAGCTACATCGATGAGCCCTTCATGGATCTTGACAAAGACCTGCTGGAAGATTGACCTCCTGTGTGTGCACACTCAGTGCCCGGGGGTGGGGGGGGGGGCCAGACGGTCACAGGGAGCCAGACGGTCACAGGGAGCATGGACGCCTAAAGCTGGTGAAGACTCCGCTGAGCTCATCCGGGCGCTTTGTGACTGCGCTCTGGATGTAAAGACTCGCCTGTTTTTTCCGTCTGTACCTTTCGAAATCGAGGCCGTCGTCTCGCGCGTGATTGGACGTCATCGACTCACTAAGTTCCCAAACCTCTTCAAAGCAAGAGGTGGAAACCTGTCTGCCCGCCCCAGATCGCCATCACCGTTTAAACACACAGTTAAGGGACCTTGCATAATGACACCTGCATTGGTTGTTTGCTTTAGGTGAAATTCAAATAGAGCCTTTTTTATATAACCTATATAAAATTCTATGGAGAAAAAAAAGTGTATGATTCAACAAAGTATATGTTAGAAAGAAGAAAAAAAAAAAAACAAGAAAAAAAACAGATTCTTTTCACGTGGACTTTGTTTGAAAATGGCCACAGTTTGAACGCAGGAGTGTCAATGGTCTCACTCTCCCACTACCGGCGCTCTCTCTGTGGACTCCATGCCTCTCCACTGCCTGGCTCGTGGGGGGGGGGGGGCTGGTGGTGGAGTTTTAGCAGGGGGTCTTCTCAATGAACAGCATTTTCATTTAACCCGTCTGTGGGTCTATTTTATTAGGTGGCTGTTGTTGATTGGTGCTTTCTGGCTCTACTCGGCACGTTTAGGTAGCTCGTGGGCCGGCTGACGACTTTCCCAGACCCCACGGCGGCCCCCCTCACTGGAAACCATCCACTTTGTTGTGGCTCCCTCGCCCAGGGACTCGTTTCTTTACCAGGTTCTTTTTTTGTTGTTGATTTACTTTTGTCTTGTTGAAAACAATGGATTTTTAGCTCTGGATGAACTGTAGAATAAAACATTGCACAGATGACATTGTTTTTATTGTTTATGTTTTACCACATTTTGTTGATTTAAAAAAAACAAAAAAAAAAAAACATTTTTCCTTTTTGTAACAGAACTTGTACCCATATTTGTGAGAGATGCTTTGGGAAGAGAATAAACTATGCAGGCGTTAGTGTTAAAGAAACCACTTTTCATTGTTCCGGTCCAGACAACGTTTCTGCGAATTTGCCTTCTGCCCGACACCATCGCCGTCGACCGCTTTCCGCTGGTCTCTCAAAATGTTTGACCACGAGCTGGGATGTAACGGCTCTGTTTGCATGGCATAATCGCGACTGTGTTGACGTGTTTCACGGCCTGAATGTGCAGCTGTTTTATGGAAACGGAAGACGCAGAGCTAACGTCTTAGATGAAACGGACCCGACCATATGTATGTATGAATGTATGTATGAGCTACCTCATATTTTGTCCCAACTCCGTACAGATCAAACCACTTCTAATGACAAGTGTACAGTTTTACTCCCAGCATGTCATGAGTCATAATAAATGTTCATGTGAATGTATAAGGGCATTTCTACAGTTATCCCGATGCCATGAGTTGCTAGTGCTATGCCGCCTTGGGATGCAAACACAAAACGTCCTTTACACTTTGAAAGCCTTTTATTTGCTTTAAAGCTAATTAACCAGAAATGTTTCCTTTCTTTTCTTTTTTGTTTTCTAGCTTTCATTCAGCATGTCTTAATTCTCTTGATGGGTGTGTGCACATACTTTGAATTAGTTCCTCTTTTGTGCTTTGCAGTGAAGTTGATGCAGGTACAATTTACAAGTGCTTCTCTCACAGATCCTCAGTCTGTCTGCCGGAGGCCCCAGATAATTGCCGTGGTTCCTCGATAACATGATGTGATTTGACACGGGGTACCTCTGCAGCGGTGTTATACTCTTAATACAGACCGTGTGTTGTCATTGACACAAAACCTCTTTTTATCACTCCAGCCATCCACCATGGAAGTCAATGACGCTATTGTTAGAGAAACATGAATGTTGTGAGCGCTCTTCTGGAGCAACTATGTAAACAATCTCTGAACCTTGACTTCTGTAGCTTTGTGATCTGAACCTCAGAGCGAGTGATCCCTCTATGATGCACAAGAGAAATGGTTCTCAACACTTCTGCTGTATGTGGTGTGATGCTCCTCGTAGGCCTTAGATTTCATTTACTGATTTGTATAGAAAATGGTGACATGTGATCCCCTCGGCCAAGAACATGCTGCACAGTGTTGAACAGAACACTTATTTGTTTTTTTTATTTTAGATCACTGACGCTTTGACTTTATTTACCGGAGGTTCATGTAATGTTCGGCATGAAGACGGTTTGTTATTGGATACGTTTTGCATCTAGTCCATAACTCACTCGGACCATGTGGTGCTTTTTGTTTTTTGATGGAATATGATTATGTCTCGGCTCACTATGATCGATAGCATCTACTGTTTGTCGAAAGGAACGACTTTTAAGAGATGTGAACGCAGTTAATGGTGTAAAATCGTGATTATGAATTAATTTTAGATAAGAAGCCATGCTTTTTCATGTGTGTTTGCATTGAATAATGCATAGAAATCCCTCCACGGTTATGTTAAGAATTCACCTCTGCACACAAATGTTTTAATCTCTTTCTTGAGCGACGGAGAGAAGATTATTGTTTTAGGTTTCACATTCTACTATAGCTACTTCTGTAACCAACTTTCACCCACTTGTTCCTCCTCTAATGCTGGTATTGAACTTCATTTTCCTTACTTAACAGCTGTTTGTCAAATTAATATTATAATAAATTCTTCTTTAGACCTTCATTGTGGAATTTCTATCTTCGTCACACATTGACAATGGGGGGGGGGGGGGGGGGGACCCAGA